GTGTAAGAGCAGGAATGGAGAGCAAATTGTTTTGAAAATCTGGAACATGAAATGCCGGAACATGATTATCAAAAACATGTAGTTGGCCGTGTCCTAAAATTGGGAGAGTTTGACCATCAGCCACACTCACCTTGCCCCAAATTTTTTTCAGATTACTCAACAAGTTTGGATTACTAATCATGTGATTGGTGGCTCCCGAATCAACTATGAAAGATGCATTTAGAGAAAGAGATGAATCAGAGACAACATTACCCGACTCCTTGGCCTTCATGGCAAGGAGAAGTTGCTTAAAACCTTGAACTTCATCAGGTGTAAATGACAGAGTTGTAGTAGCAGCAGTCATTGCCTGATCGCTTTTGGGTGAATCTTTGTATCTTGAAGGCTTGAGGTGAGGATGGAGAAGCCAACACTTCTCCTTGGAATGGCCTTGCCTCTTGCAGTGATCGCACGAGAGAGGACGTCGGTCACGACCGGGAGCAGAAGGCGAGGAAAAATGGTTCGGACCGCGGCGATAATGAGCAAGTTCGCTTGGACCTGAAAACAGAATATGTCCTCCTTCCTCTCTTTTAATCATCATGCAGACATCATCATATTTTGGGAGCTTGTCTTGGCGAAGAATATGGTATATGAGATTATTGTACGAGCTGTCAAGAGTAAGGAGGATGGAGAAAACCTTATCCTCCTCCAACCTGTCTTTGTACGCCTTGATGTCCGCCGTAGGGGGGCGCAATTCCTCGAGTTCAGTCCACAGGGAGCTGAGTTCTCCATGGATCGTGTTGAATGATTTGCCATTCTGTTGGAGAGCAAACATACGTTTCTTGAGTTCAAAAATTCGACAGAGATTGCTAACATTACCATAGACATTCTGAAGAGCCTCCCAAAGCTCCTTAGTGGTCTCCAAGGCAATGAATGATTTCAGGACGTTGGAATCCAACGAGCTCTGAAGAATAGCAAGAGCGAGATTATCCTCCTTCACCCACTCAGTTGACAGATCTGGGCGAATCCGAGTTTCTTGCTCTGTTGCAGCAATAGGTTGGGGCGTGACTTGTGTTTGGGTTGTGTGATCCCAAAGGCCACGACTCTTGAGAATAGCCTTAGCCGCTTTCGACCAATAGAAATAGTTATCTCCGGAGAGGAGCACAGGGATTGTTTTCGGGGCATTTAGATCCATGCTTAAGCCGGGGAAAAAAAAAAAGATGGAGGAAGGAGTTGTTGGGAGGAAAGCAGAATGATGACGAAAGGAATCACAGAATCAGCAACCCAGAGGCTCTTGATACCATGTGAAAACCTTCGAAACTTGGGGTTGCAGAACAACCAGAGGAAAGAAGAAAAAGTTCTTATTGTCTGATCTAATTTTACAGAGTATACAATGTCGTGTAATTATACTAAAGGCAACAGTATAATATAAGGAAACTAATATCTGCAGGAGGAAAGTTATAGAAACCGAGAATATATTAGCATAATCTCAGTCGTCAAATCATGGATTCTCTTGATTGAGATCGTAGCACTTGGATGCAGGATTATCGCCATCTTCCAGATCATGTATTTGCTTTTCGGCTAAGGTATGGGCTCCAACAAAAACGACCCATAGACGAAGAAATTCATGAAACTCACCTCCAAATAGGTTAGCTTAAACATATCTGTCCCTGAATCAATCAACCCGACAGCTCTGTCATCCGACACAACAGAAGAGACCACCGTCCGATACTTGGAAACCGGGGGTGAGAGCTTGCGCGGGACGGAGAAGGAGGAGGAGCCGGTCGGTCCGTCACGACGAACGTGTGCGACTCGCGAGGACAATGGAACGATCCGAGCTGTGGTTATGGTGGTAACACTGATGGGTCTGCAACTCATAGGCAGAGCAATAGCCATGGCGGATGCAGCGACAGCGCCTCAAGTTAGGGAAATTCGCATTTTCAAGCCTTTGTTTATCTCTGCCCATATGGTTTCTGCTCTTGCCACTTGGTGCAACGATAACCATTATGCATTTTTTGTGTAAGCTCCCAACTAATACAGTAGTTTTGTAATTAGGGCAATTTAAGGCTCAAATTATGGTTTATGATTTTTTTAATCTTTTGTAAACAATTTGCTAATTAAATTTAAACCCAAGAACAAGTGCCACCGAACCAAAGATCGTCCTTTTTCTTTTCTTTGCCCTTCAATCCGGAGAAGAAAGGAAATTTTACGAGAGAACGAGCCAAAGATCATTTTCCCGAGAAAATTCCTCGACCTCGGGGGAACTTCAACTCCAGGCGAGAGTTAGAGTGAAGACTCTGGGTTTGGAAAAGGTTTCATCTTTCTTGTCTCTCTGATTGAAGCGGTGGGAGATACAAGGCACCGACTATGGCGGAGAAACAGCTGATCATCGTCGTCGAAGGTACTGCCGCACTGGGTCCGTATTGGCAGACCATTGTCTCCGATTATCTCGAGAAGATTATCAGGTTTTTTCCCCTTCTCCGTCCTCTTTCTCCTCTTTCTTGAATTTGATTTCGTTGTCCGTAGCTGCGATTGTGGTTTACTCGAAATTAGGGTTTCTCATCGTGAGCCGAAGTTGATGCTTTCAAAATTTTTAGGTCTCGAATTTGATCGAATGTTTATACAAGGGGAGCGTTCTGTTGTTCACAGCGACAACGAAGTCGAACAAATTCGATCTATTGTTGGAGGTGGATTCGTTTATGTGTTTTCATAATATCTTATTGCCTCCTAGTGTTGTGGATGTTTGATCTTAGACCGGTTGGATGCGTATCATTACGGAAATGCTGTAAATTTTGTTATTCTACGAATTTTCTTGATGTTGTGTGATAAGCTTTAGTTTCTTCTTCCCAGATGTATAAATGGCCATGACAGAAGATGCAAACTTTAAGCTTGTAGATGTAAAATATGTTTAGTACCAGCAATTTCCCCTATTATGCTGTGACACTGTTAGGTTCAGACCGATGTCAGATGCAACATGACAAAATTTCCATCAATTTTCTCTGATTGGGCATCGCCATGTCATGCTAAGGTATCACGCCCTGTTGGTTGTTTGAAAGTTCATTGTTAGCCATAATTAGTGTGCCCTTCTTGAAGGTGTTATTCCATCAAGTATCAACTTAGGCTTGAAGTGTTTTTACCCCTTGGTGTGGCGGTTGTATTGAGAAGGAAAAGAAATGATGATATTGGGTTTCAGCAGAGTTGAAGAAGAACTATGAATTTTGGTAACCCTCGGAGAACCAGGAACCAATTTCAGCAACCTTAGGCCAAAATTCCAAGTGAAAGATCTTTCTTCTTCTTCCCCTTTCTACCGACTGAAAACGATTAGATACACTGTTTTTGGATGATCTTTGATTGTCATATCATATCTGCTGAGACAACTGAATGCAATGTTGCACTTTTCTCCTGTGTTTTGTTTGGAATCACTCATATATATTATATACTAAGCTTGTAGTGTTTGCTATTGACATACTTTGTCGAAGACTGATTTCTTGTTGTGTAAAGGGTATTGCTGCTGTAGTTGCTGAATAAGTTACTTATTATATCAACAGCTTCTATGCATGGTATTTGCAGCTTTGCGGCCTTGGTTTGCAGCACAAAGTATGAAACTTTACCACCATTCAGTATGAAATTTTTATGACAGAGCATTGGTAGGGTGTTCATGATATCAAGTAACATAGAAACATCTGTTAGTGAAGTTTTGTATTTAAAGCTTATTTATTTTCAAGATCTGGATAATCTAGTTGATACCAAATGGGTGCATCTGGAAAGAATCTAGTAGAATCGCCCTCTCTGCCTTGTCCACACCAACCACAATTATAAGACTCATAGAACAGTTCAGAACATAGACTAGATCAGTTAGATATGATACAGCTCATTGTCCTTTCTGAGGTATCTGGATGAGTCCCTTGTGGGACACCATTATGCAGGATTTCTTGGTGGGGATTGTCAGGTCGCATTTTAATTTCCTATCCCCTCCAGACCTTCACATTCTTTACTCTGTCCACTGTAATCACAACGTTCAGTATAAATGGTTCTGTTCAGTCTGTACAGCCTCCTTATTATTGTGTTAGTTTCATGTTAAAATGCTGGAACTCATAAAAATAATATCTATAGTAGATATAGAAACAGTTGGACAACTGTCTTCTCTTCTCTATCTGGAATTTCTCGTGTGTTAAAACTCAAGAGTATGTTCCCATTATTTATTAATGGACTCTCTGCATTTGGGCAGGTCTTTTTGCGGCATGGAGAATGGACAGGTACTATATCTGACTTCATGCTTTTTCATCGTGTAGATGCAATTTTTCATTCTTGAGCTGATGCTCATTCAAAACTTCTTTTTCACGATCTCTTCAAATCAGTTATTTGTATGCATTTGTTGGTAAACAATGATTGCCATCAAATCCTCTCAACGTTCTAAAATTTAGAAAGCTAGTAGACAGCTTGATTTCTTGGAGGCGACCATTGATGTCTATTTATACGTTTACTTTGCTAAATCTGCAGAGGGTTCCTGCTTCTAACATTGAGCTATCGCTTGTCACCTTTAATTCTCATGGTTCATATTCTGGTATGTATTCTGCTCCATCTTCGTGATGTCGTGATTCAACCTTTTTATTAGATACCTTTGCATAGCCCCCTGTTCGCTGATTATTTAGTTTTCAGAAGGCTATAACATGTTATATTTCTGCCGAGTTTCACAGGTGTGATTGTTTTGTTTTTCTTTTCTTACCAGGTTGTCTGGTGCAACGGAGTGGCTGGACAAGAAATATCGATATGTTTATACAATGGCTGTCTTCGATACAATTTGCTGGTGGTGGTTTCAACGAGGCTGCCACAGCCGAAGGGCTTGCTGAAGCATTAATGGTGGGGATGCCTTTGTCATTATAACACACAGCTAGAAGTAAATATTTGAGATGCAACCCATCAAATATAACATTTGACTAGCTTCGTGAAGTTGATTTTTTTTATCTGTTTGGACTTTTCTTTGTCTTGTTTCTTTTTTGTTTTGTTTGGTTTTGGGGCCTCATTGTATATGGTGCTGTTTCTGTCAGTAATTATTCTGTTCTTACGATCTCACATTTGTGTTCTGACTTTGTGAAACAGATGTTTTCTCCTCCTCCAGGGCAAGCTCAACAAAGTAGTGATTTCAAAATGCATTGTATCCTAGTTGCAGCCAGCAATCCTTACACATTGCCAACACCAGTCTATCACCCACCGTTGCAAAATGTGGAAAGGAATGAAACCGGAGAGGGACAATCAGAAAGTCGTTTGTCAGATGCTGAGACAGTAGCCAAATATTTTCCCAAAGTACCATTTTTGTGAATAGCTGCAACCTGCTATATTTATGTGCTTTAACCACAGAATTGCTAACCTGCCACATTGATTGCAGTGCTCTATTTCTCTGTCTGTCATATGTCCAAAGGAGCTCCTAAAAATCAGGGCAATATACAATGCGGTGAGACTGATAGGATGCATATCTGCAAGTGAATTTGCGCAATGCTTTGGTGTTCATCTAACAAAAATTCTTGGCCAGCTTATAGCCTTTCAGGCTTATCATTTCAAGAATTTACTACCAAAAACAAAGACTGGTCATTATTCTAAAAGCTAGTTGCTGATGAAAGATTATTTTCTGGGGTGCTGATGAGATTGTTTTTATGCAGGGGAAGCTCAATCCACAAACTACAGACCTATCAATTGACACTGTCAAGAATCCGTTCTATCTTGTCCTAATATCGGAGAATTTTGTGGAGGCACGTGCTGCTTTAAGTCGCACTCCAACAAATCTGCCCCAGATCCAAAGCCCTTTGAAAGTGGACAGGAGCACAATTGCTCCACCTCCTGTCACCGGGCAACCTCAAGCTCCTGTTCCATCAGGTCATTCATCTACTGACCAGGATCTTTTGCTGTTAAACATTTTTGTTTTGCATCGTTCATGGATTTTTTTAAAATTTATCTCGCCTTATTCTTTGTCAAATCTTGTCTGTCCCTTTTTTCAGCAAATGGATCTGTTCTGACTCGGCAATCCGTTTCTGCCGGAATTGTGCAGAATGCTACTGTAAAAGTTGTAAGTCTCTTTAATTTTTTATTTTGCTTGTAGAAGAGGTACCCTTATTTTGTAATCTCATTAAGTGGTTACGCTGGATTGTATTTTGTTTATTTAGGAGCCTAGCTCTGTACCTTCCATGGCACCCCTTCCAAGTTTCTCCCATATCCCAACCATTGCTCGTCCTGCCACACCAGCAATTCCTGCAATGCAAACAACTTCAGCATCTCCAATTTCTCAAGAAGTGATATCAAGTGCTGAGAGTGTCCAAGATATCAAACCTGTGGTGGGTGGGATGACACAGTCATTGCGTGCAGGCCCTCTTGGTGGAGCCAACGTAAATTTACTGAACAATCTATCTCAAGTGCGGCAAGTCATGAGCTCTGCAGCTCTTGCTGGGGCAACTTCGTTAGTTGGGCAAAGCGCAGTTGCTATGCATATGTCAAATATGATATCCACTGGAATGACTGCATCATCTTCTTCGCCTCCACAAACTGTAATTTCATCTGGACAGCAGGGAATTACTTCAGTGGCTGGTTCAGGTCCTCTTATGGGGACTATTACCCAAGTGGGACAAAGCTCGGGTCCTGCTTCCTATAGTTCTCCAATGACAAATGTTAGTGGGAGTCCGAGCCTTGGTGTTTCACAACCTATGCAAGGAATGAGCCAAGGAAGTCATCAAGGAGGAATTGTGATGAACCAAAACTTGATGAGTGGTCTTGGTCAAGCAAATGTCTCTTCTGGGACTGGTTCTTCAATGATGCCTACACCAGGAATTGCTCAACAAGTTCAATCAGGGACACAACCTCTGAGTGTCAATAACAGTTCAGCTTCTAATGTGCAGTTTTCTCAGCCATCTTCGGGGGCTATACAAGCTTCACAATCCAAATACGTGAAAGTCTGGGAGGTAAAATTGTTTACTTGATCACAAAATGCTGTGATTCTATATGTAAATCTCACATTTCCAAATTCATTCAGGGACATTTATCTGGGCAAAGGCAAGGGCAGCCTGTTCTCATCACTCGGCTTGAGGTGCATATTTAGGGTCTCCCCCTCTTATGATTAATCCCGATCATGTACTTGTATAAGCACATTTATCTTCGTCCAAATTGTGTCGCAAGTTTTAACCTAGCAAAAACTGGTAACATCTTTGTTTCAGGGTTACAAAAGTGCTTCTGCACCTGATTCGTAAGTTCATAATCTGTTTTTTTTGTCTTTTTTTTCGGGCTCTAATTCATCTTTGTTCTTGACAAATTACCTATAGCTATTTGACCGATATTATGTCTTTCTATTTTTGTGGGTTTTCTTAGGTTAGCAGCAAATTGGCCTCCAACTATGCAGATAGTTCGTCTCATATCCCAGGATCATATGAATAACAAGTAGTGCCTGACTTGCTAGCCGTGATCTCATAGTTGCATGTTACAATTCTTGTCATTAATATTCTCATCTAACTTTGCATCAGGCAGTATGTCGGCAAAGCTGATTTCCTAGTTTTCCGGGCCATGAGTCAACATGGTTTTTTAGGACAACTTCAGGAAAAGAAGCTTGTAAGTTCTTCTCTATATTTTGCTCCAGTTATCTCCATTTCCTAATGTTTTTTATTCGGTTTTCCAAGTATATGCCAACTATGTAGTTGTTTTAAAAGATTTGGCAAATGATGCACTGAAGGGTAGATTGTTTCAAATGGAATCCTAGAAAGTTAGAAACTTTTTTATATCTATGATTCTGATGACAGTGCCAATATCACCCCGAAAACTATTTAGGTTGTCTCCGTTCTGGATAGAGAGTGAATGTTTTGCCCTTTCGAACTGTCTTATCTATGTTTTGGTTGACTTTGTCGGGTGGATTTCTACTAGACAATACTTCTAACTCAGAACCCTCAATTGCAGTGTGCAGTCATCCAGCTACCGTCGCAGACACTGCTGCTATCTGTCAGCGACAAAGCTTGCCGCTTGATTGGAATGCTTTTCCCTGGTGTTAGTATTCCCTTTTTTTTTGCAAAAATTTTCGCCCGGGTTTTTGTTAGATGTTTGGCTCCACTATCCACAAATTCCAAATGTTTATCCTTCACTCAAAATCGGTCGTTGATTTGGGATAAATGTAATCAGAAGCTATGAAAACTCTGATCCTTGTTGATCTCTTTTGACTTTTGGGTTTTTTGTTTACTTAGGATATGGTTGTGTTTAAGCCACAAATCCCGAGCCAGCAGCAGCAACAACTCCAACAGCAACAGCAACAGCATCAGCAGCAACAGCAGCAAGCCCAGCAGCAACTACCGCAACTCCAGCAGCAGCAACTACCGCAACTCCAGCAGCAGCCACA